TTCTTCCCCTCTCTTCTTCCTCGACCAGGACCGCAGCTGCTGCCCCACAGCTGTTTCCTAGGGCAGCGCAGCTGCAGCTGAAAAGCTGAGAAAGGCAATCCCTACATATGAGATTTAATATTCTAAGAAGAGACTGCTATTAAGAGGGTATTTGCTTATTTACATTAAAAAAAGGCTCGATATTTAAAATCGTGGACATAATTAAATGAAAGAAAGAAATTTGTTCTTTAAGACTTCTTTAGTTAAAAGTAATATTCGATTTTCATTTGAAGTGAAAGTTTGGTATTTTCTGTGTGCATCAATTTAAATTTTAATATGATTTTTCAAATTTAGGAAGGAGTACGAAAGGTTTTAAGTCTAGGACTATGAGAACATGACCTATTAGAAATATACTAGAGTCAATTTGTTCAATTGTTTTGTCCAGTGATGGAAAATGAACTTATATAAGAAGTGTAGAGATAATTTTTATTTAAGTATATAAACTATTGATATGAAAAATAAGAAAAAAAAGTTGAGAAAACAACTTATAAGGCATAGTGTAGCAATTGATATGACATTCAAATGATAATGAATGAAGAAGAATGGCTTTGGGAGTCGACCATAAACAGTTAGCACACTGTAAGTATTTGTTAGGATTATAGTAATGATGAAAATCATTTCAATCTTATACACGTGTGCTTTCTCACACACATATAAATAAAAATAAATAAATAAATAAATACATATACGTACACATACACATACATAAAGAGAGATAGAGATGGACACACAGAGAGAGAGAGAGAGAGAGGCTTTATAGTGAATATAATAAATAATGATGATAACTTTTTATTAATTAAAAGAAGGACATCATATCAAATTATATAAAAATGACCAATCATGAGGCAAATTATCAGTAAGGGGTTATAAAATCAATCATAAAAAAATTTTGAGTTAAAAAATATATTTTTTATAAAATGATAATCTGCCTCATGTAAGGTATACTAAAAGTGAGAATGATGCATGTTACATAGAGAAATATTAAAAAAAAAATTGGATACAATAGAAATTGAATAATATTTCCATTATTTTCTTAAAAAATAATTATTGAGTAAATGAATATTTGCTTAAATTGACGACTTAAAGATAAAGTAGATGCATGAATAAGCTTGAAAAAAATCATGAAAGAGTTGGTAAATATATTCCTTAACGAAACTACAATGTTGGACCCAAACTTACATTCCCTATCATTAGAACTAAAGTGCAAATTGTTTTAGCAGAGCTTTATGAGGTGTGTGTTTGCATTGGGAGTTCAAGACTGAAGAGAATTTAGAGAATGATATGAAAAAGAGCTTTCCAAAAAAACATATCAATATCAATGCGCAACACTAGCATTGGATACCATGCAAAAAAAAAAAAAGAAAAAATGAATGTGATGCCTATTCCATTGTGTGGGCTTGGTGAAGTCTCATTGTCCACGGTATGCTATGTCTAGTTTGGTGCATTTGCAACAATGAGATTAGCTAAATTTGAATAGTTTAAACACAATGTTGGATCATAAATTTAGAAGCCGCTCAAAATAACTTAAATTTTTTATTTATTATTTTTATTTTACTTTTGTATTTTTTATTTTGAAATAAAATATATTTGTTAGTGGTCATTATTTTTAAAAATATTCGAACTATCTAATTATTTTTTTTGGTGTAATTTATTTTTAAAATTTAGAAGTAAAAATACTTTAAAATGCACATGTTTTTAAAAATAAAAATTCAAAAAAAAAAGAAAACTTAAAATAAAAAAGGTCACAAACAAAGACATAAAATTTTAGGGTTGTAAACAAAGTTAACCATAGACATAATCAATAAAAATTAATTATTACCGTACGCAAAAATATATATGGGTCAGTGGGCCCTAATTTTAAATTTTTTAATATAAAAAAATTCTCATTGAACTGCCCACACAGAGTAATGGCTCCACATTGAGACTAACTTTGAGGGTGATGAGATATTAGAGGCACATGGAGTTTTCTAAGCACTTTGATGCCCCCGTACTTCAAAAATAAGCTAACTTAGAAATATGAAATAGTTATATTAAATTTATAAGTAAAAAGTAAATCCAATCCTTTCGCATTTAACCATTCTCTTATCCTCTTTCATGAACAGGCTTAGCTAAAAAAGTATACTTAGCTGCAGAATCATTTGTAACTTTAAAACGCAGAGAGCGACTTGATTTTTCATTCTATGAGGAAATTTATGAAGCCCATCAATATGACTCCCACAGATCTCAACCAAGACAGAATATGTTATTTCGTTCAATGTAATTATAGACTTTTGCGTGTTTGGTGTGTGAAAGCATGCATTTCATTTCAATCAGGAGAAATCCAACATTTCTTGCGGACAAAGCTCAGAGGCAAAAGCAATCTTTTCAATCGACAAGACATAACATAGAAACATAATAATTTATAAGTGTAGTCATTCTCAACTATCAATCCCCCGCCAAACCTGCATTCTGCATCATATTTATTAATACAGAAATTATTTTAAAATAGTCCTTTAATATGCTGAATAATATATCAAATAATGTGGCTTATTCCAAAAAATAAAATAGCTCTCCAAACTGTCTGAAAGCAAACAGATTTAAACATCACATTTTGTCGCATCAAGCAATGATATTTTAATATTATTTATATTTTATGTCATTAAAAAAATATGATTTTTTATTAGCTCATACACAACTCTTATATAGTCAGCTTGACAAGACGTCAAAAAATGTGTTATTTTATAATATCCAAGATGATAAATGAGAGTTTCACACTTAACTATTTACATTCCTTGATTTTCTTCTTCTAAATAACTTTGGCTATAATTTTCACAGGTTATTTTATTTTAATATCTTCGTTTTAACATTTAATTCAGTTATATATATATATTTATTAATGATAAGTCACATTTATCTCCATTTTACTTTGGTCCAACTAGACACAGGCAGTAGGCCCGAAATTTCAAGTTCCGACATTGATTGGACATGTTTTTGACTAGCATATTCCTTGTATATAAAAATGCAATGCAAAATATTTACTTAAAAAAAAATCATAAATAAATATAATAAAAGTCTATAAAACAAAGGAGCTGGAGAGAGCGGACTGTACCATTTGTTCCTAACTAGAAAATACTCGAATAAATTAGAAAATCTTAAATTCCAATAAAAGTCTCACCGCATTGATCCTGCTTTCCAGGCATCTCTTACCTTAGCTTTCTCGATAATTCGATTGGCTCCCTCCTTCCACGGTGGCACGAGATCCCACAATATGATTGGCGGGTCCTCCCCAATGTCCCTATTTCGCCAGGTGGCATTTGCCTACCATTATCCGCGGTGTAATTACCCCCCTCGTTCCCTTCTTTGCCCGCCTCGATGCCCTCCTCTGTGTTCTCTTCTTCTTTTTTTGTTTATACTCCCCGTGCAAACAGAGTACGCTCACCCATTGGTTCGTACTAGCTTTTCTCTTTCCTCCCTTTCTCTCCTACCGCACTCATAATTGTATCTCTCAATTAAGCTGCTCCCATGGAGAAAACCCTAAAAAAGTTCTAATTATACACGTATAAATCTATTTTGTATGAAACGAGATACTGTCAGATGCGATGTATGGTAAGAAATGAATTACAAAAACTTTGGCTAAAAACCTAATTTTTATCAATGGTAACCCTAATGACGTATGGAGAGTTGGTAAGACTTTGGAGCTTGACAGCTCTTTGCCCAGCTGATCAGTGACGTTTTGAGAGAGAAATAAGGTGAAAGTGCAAAGTGCTGAATCCAAAAATGGTGGGAGGGCCTCCTTTCTTTTTCCTAAAGACAAACAAATCTCAAATCTCTGCTTACTATCACCTATTCAAAGGAGAAACCGTCCCTGCTATAACAGATCCATACTTCCCCCCAACAATAAATTGGCAACGAGGAAGGGAAAGAGAAGGAAAGTGAAGGAAAAAAATAGGCTTTTTGTACACTAGGATTGAGATCTTAAGAGGACCACTAGTGAAGAGAAGGGGAAGAAAAACTAAGCTTCGTAGTACTAAATCTATCTTATTTTCCATCTTATTCACTGTTTTATAGATCCACTATCGCTTGAAGTTCAGATCTTGATACATCAGAAACTTTTAAGGAAAAACGAATATAAGAAAGTGGGCGAAGCGCTGTATATTTTATTGCGTAGCTGAAAAAATAGCTCTTTTTATTGTTTCTTTTGTTCTCCAGAAAGTGGTATTTATTTTCTAGTTAGGATCTTCTTGACAAAGAAAAACCCAGCAGATGGGAGAAGGGAAAGTGGAATAAAAAAGCCATTTTTATGTAAGCATTGGTCTTAAGTAAAAGGTTTTGTTCTTGGCAAAGAAGAACCCAACATAAGAGGGAAAGCAAACGCAGCAAAGCGACCCCTTTTATGAAACTTCCCTTTCTTTCTATAGATCAACTATAGGAATATTGATTCCCTAGAAGAAAACAGAGAAGGTTCTTAGATTGTCTAATTACTTTCTATTTGAAATTTTTTAACAGTATTAATCATTCAATCTCTCGAAATCTTCAAAAATGAAAAAAAAAACTTTCGGAAGAAAGAGTGGTAATGATAGAGAGAGAAGAGAGATAGAGAGAGAGAGAAGAATAAACCTGTTATTGGCATATTCATAGAGGCGGCCACGGCTGGAGAAGATGATAAGGGCTACTTCAGCATCGCAGAGGACCGAGAGCTCGTAAGCCTTCTTGAGAAGGCCATTGCGACGCTTACAGAAGGTGACTTGTCTGTTCGTAGTGTTCTCTATCCTCTTGATCTCTATCTTTCCCCTTCCCATCTTCTCCTTGCTCTCCATCATGCTCGCCTCCCTTGCTCCTTTCACCGAACATAAGTAAAACAACAAACAAAGCCACAGAAATCAGCTTAAGAAATCCAAAATCAAACCTTTTTGAAAAAAAAATGAATAAACATCAAATTTACAGACTCAACAACTGGAGTCGGGCTTCTTGTGCGTCTTCCCTTGCGGCTGCCTGAAAAAAAGCCAGTTTTTTTTTAAAAAGGTTGCAGCTTGCTGGTTAATAAACTGGTAAGCCTTCAAGCTCTCCCCCTCTTTCTACGAAGGAAGGACAGGCAATTAACTCAGGCAACCATTGCCATCGGTTTCAAAAGATTGGATGAATGGTGGGCACTAGAGAGAGAAGAAGGTAAAAGAAGGGAGGTAGAGAGAGAAAGAGCGAAAGGGTCTTTTAGAAAGGGATTATTAATGGCGTTTGAATACGACGTTAGACAGAATTGCACTCAAACAAATATACTCCGGAAAATAAAACAAAAAGAACGGGGAAGGATGAAAGCAAGGATTGCGCCATTGTCCTTCAACTCCTTCCTCTACTCTTGGCCCATTTCTTTGAGTTCCTTAATTTTATTTCTCTTGATCGTACTCTTAATCCAGGTACTTCTGCAATCCCAAAAAAGTTTAATTTATTAAAAGTTATCAGTTCTCACAGTAAATTTATACCAAAAAATAGTTTTTTAATGCAGATTCTGACATGTAATACATATAAACAAGGTTAGGTAAACTTTTCTTGCATGTCTCTGCTTCGAATTTGGTCATTTTACATTCTTTGGAGATCTAATTGAGGTTAAAGTCGAAGAAATGTTGATGAACTTCGAAATGTTGATGAACTTCTGGCTCTATGGCTCATTTAATTTGCATAAGTATGTTTGTACAGATATGTGGGAGCTTCACTGACATTCTTGTTGTGAAATGTGTTGTTAACTTACTGGAGTTACTTACTTTTAATTATTCACAGAGCATCAAGGCATGATAATTGAAATGTGATTAGATTAACTATACATTCGACCAAGAAGCTTGCATTTATGTTGGTGTTATAACCACTGTACAGGAAGGGCATTTTGAAAGATATCTTTTAAAGTACAATACACAATATCAAAATTAAAATATGCTATTCTTGGCGATTCAACGATGTTTGTCTCATTAATGGGGTTAATCTTGTAGTTTACAATGATTCGGCCTTTATGAAAATTTTAGCAATTAACGTTGATTTTATGAATTCTTTGTATTTTTTTACATCAGTTATGAATAGCTGCTACCAAAATTCAAAATCTCTTCTTCTTTTTTCACTATTTTTTGTTACTGTATTTCAGGTCACTTTCGAGTTCTAATTCGATCTCAAAATTTAATTTCACTTTCAATTTAACAAGTTTAATTTAAAATCCAGTGCTTCTGACTTAATGGTAGCACCATAATAATGTATTTTGGAGCTAAACGATAACCTGAGGGAAATTTACTTGTAGATATTTGGGTAACTTAAATAGGTTGATTTTTTATGTTGTTGGAGTTTTTCTTACAGCGAAGAGAGGCAGCGATGAAAGAACATAAAGCCAGCTATGAAAGCTGAGCAGAAATGAGATGCCGATACAGAAATCAGAGAGAAAGACTATGGATTAAGCTTAGAGAGAATTCATATTAGCAATAACTCATCACCCAATTTAATACATAGTAGTTGGTATATATAGTAGGCATTAGAAAGTTTTAAATACATGTCATAACAAAACTGAAAACAGTTAGGATATGGTCTAGCTCCTCTCTTGGGGGCCACTAGAATTAATGATTGCTGCTAGGACCCCCCGACAAGCTGATGGGCCGTGGAAGAACTATCAGCATGGTGCGAGTTGGTGAAACTAGCGTTTGGCGAAAGGTTTAGTAGGAATGTCTGTCGTTTGATCCTGGGTGTGAATGAATTCAATTGGTAGGTGTTTGGGATGAATGTGATCATGAATAAAATGATAATCAATTTCTATGTGTTTCGTGCAAACGTGAAAAATAGGATTATTTGCTAAGGAGATGGCAGGGATGTTGTCACAATAAAGTAGAGTTGTTTGTGTGATGGCAATACCAAATTCTTGAATAAGCCTGCGGAACCATATAATATCTCTAGTTGTTGTGGCTAGAGCCCAATATTTTGCTTCTGTCAATGAACGCTCCATCGTGGATTGTTTCTTGGCTGTCCATGAGACTAATGTGTCTTCGAGGAACAAACACACGCCAGTGGCAGATTTTAGGTCTAATTGGCCCACAACACAATCGATGTCAGCATATGAACGTAAGTAAATGTGTCTTGTTCGACCTTCTAACCCAAAATGACTTGTGCGTTTCATATAAAGAAATAGAACTGTAAGAACTTCGTAGTGGGTTGTGTAGGAGAGTGCATTTGTTAATATAACCAGTTGACACCAAAAGTGATGTCCAGACGTGTTTGTGGGCTCCAAAAATTTAAAAAGCACACCCTGGACTCTTGTTAAGAGCTTAACATGTGTGTATGTTAAGTTTTCAGCTTGAACTTTCAGAAGACAGATGAGATAGTAGATAAAATACTACCTGGATATTTCACTCTCATTTTGTGACGACTTTAAGAACTGGGGCTTGAGATTTTCTATAAGAGCGAGCACTTATGATTAATTTTCTCTCCCGATAACAAGAGTGCACTTTCAATTAAGGCTAGTCATTAGAAGCTAAGTATTCAGACTTAGCATATAATAGCAAAAAATTTAACAATTTAAAATTATAAAAATTATCACTGCAAAATAAAAGTGGATTGTGGAAGAAATGATGATAAACCTGATCAAGATTTCATAGTTTTGTTATCCCGGGTAGCTTGAAAGACTTATCAACGACAAAATGAAAGTAGTTTGTTATCCTAATTTATTAGTCAGCGGAGGTAGTCAACCTAACTCGACAAAAGGATAGAAAAATTTTAACTAATCTTCGAGTGGAAAAAAATGTTCTGCCTCCCCCTCCACAGTTTGAGGGGCATTAAAGATGGTGATGACGTTGGAGTCTGTGGTGGTTCAATTGATGGCGGCTTAGCTGCTAGAGTTCAGGGAGTGAGATTACTGATCTGATCAAGATAACCCTCTGATGTGAGCTTCCAGCATGACGATGAGGTGCATCTGGTGGTGGATCTGGACTCGATGGACGACGAAAACAACTATCAAATAATATGGTTGTGGACGACAAAGGTATTCAAGGCCTTACTGATAAGTCGCCCATTGCTCACTCCTTGGATATGGTAATGTCTGGGAAATGAAGATGAGGAGTTGGTGGTTGCAAAGAGTCAGCACCAGAAGGTTTTTACTGCAGGTGTGGAGAAGGCTAGTGGTTTGGGCTTAACAATGAGAACACCCAAAACTGCATGCTGGGTGTTTGTAGAAATGTCTCTTCAGGAGCTCAAGATGATTTTCATAGTCTTTAAGGGCCATCCCAAAGAGCAAGTGGTCATGGTAGCAATCCTACCAGGTGTCACATGGATGATTCTTTTGATAAAGGAGGTAACTCAAGTGAAATTAGCTCGCAGGTGTCTCAGCCAAATGACAACATTGACAAGGTAGTATCCATTGAAGTAGGTTTGATCATCCTTATGCACCAACTTCTTATCTTCAAATCTCCCATTGCCATTACTCTCCATGATTGCTCAAAAGTAATAAAATTCCCACTCTCAAATTTCTTTAAAATACTTAGGAATGTCATAGGGATACTTTAAATACCGTCTTAGGTAGTTTTATATGGAGGAAGAAGATAGAAAACTGAATTATTGGCGGTTTGAATGATTTATTCGAACTGTGGCGTTATTGCGCCAAACCAATATATTCAATTCTCAAATTTCTTTCTTTCACTCTTCAAATCCTTTAATATAATAATGTTTTGTGCAAAAAAAATCATATAAAACTTACAATCACTTTATAGAGATCATCACAAAAGCAATTCAAATCCAAATCACATTGATAACTATGGGTTGTCTCCCACAAAGTGCTTGGTTTAACGCCATCATCCTGACATAACCAATATTTTAATCAGGTTTGACCAAATATTAGGATATCTTCAAATGCAGGACCCTCTCCACTTATGTAAGCTTTTAATATGTATCCATTTAGCTTAATCACTCTCTCAGTTTTTGGATTTTCAATATCAACAGCTCCATATGGATATGTTCTTACCACAATAAATGATCCTGAACACCTGGATTTATGTTTTATTGGAAATAATTTTAATCTTGAATTATAAAGCAATACTTCTTGCCCAGGCTCAAAATATTTTTTCAAAATTTTCTGTTGATGCCTAAATTTCATTTTCTCCTTATAAATTTTAGCATTCTCATAAGCTTCATTTTTTAATTCATCAAGCTCATTTAATTGCAGTAATCACTTCTCTCCATCATCTTTCAAATTATAATTAAACACTTTAATTGCCCAGTAAGCTTTATGTTCTAACTCAACTAGCAAGTGACATGTTTTTCCATATATGAGCCTCTATGGTGTCATTCTTACAAGTGTTTTATAAGCAGTCCTATAGGCCCATAAAGTATTATCAAGTCTAGCAGACCAATCAGTCCTTTTAGGATTTATTATTTTTTCTAATATTATTTAATTTCTTGATTGGATATTTCTGTTAAACCACTTTTTTGAGGATGATAAGCTGTGACAATATGATATTTAATCTAAAATTTTTGAGTTAATATTTCAATCATTCTAGTCCTGAAATGACTTCCCCCATCCGTAATGATAACTCATGACATTCTAAACCTTGTGAAAATATTCTTTCTAAAAATATTTGCTACACTTTTAACATCACAGCGAGGTAAAGCAACTGCTTCAATCCGTTTTGAAACATAATCCACAGCTATTAAAATATAAATCTCTCCAAAATATGGTACAAATGGTCCAATGAAATTGAATTGCCAAACATCAAAGATTCGAACTTCAAGAGTAAAATTTAGGGGCATTTCATCTCTTTTAGAAATATTGCCTACTCTGTGACATTGATCACATATTTTAATATAATTATTAACATCTCAAAATAAAGTAGGCCAATAAAATCTAGATGGTGAAATCTTAAATTCAATTTTATCCACTCGATAATATCCCTCAAAATCTAATTTATGATATTTTTAAATAATTTCTTGAGTTTCTTATAATGGTACACATCTTCGAATAATTAAGTCCTTCCATTGTTTATATAAATAAGGTTCATCCCAAAAGTAAAATTTTGAATCATAAATGAACTTTTTAATATGATGGCTATCTAATCTATAAGGTAAAATATTACTAGCCAAGTAGTTTACTATATCAGCATACCACGAAATTTTCCATTCATTAATCCCATATAATTGTTCACCAAGAAAGTTCTCATTAAATTCATTATTTAAATCTTTTTTATTTTCTTGTTTAAGCCTTGACAAATGATCAATTATTTGATTATCAGTTTCCTTCATATCCACAACTTGAAAATTAAATTCTTGCATTAGAAGGACCCATCTAATTAATCATGATTTTGCATCCTTCTTAATCATTAAATACTTTATAGCAGAATGATTAATATTCACAGTAGATTTGGTTTGAATAAGATAAGATCTGAATTTATCAAAAGCAAATGTAATATCTAATAGTTCCTTTTTAGTGG